GAGATTTTGAAAAAAATTGGAGATATGGCTTACCGACTTGCCTTGCCGCCCAATTTGTCCCAAGTACACAGTGTTTTCCACGTGTCGATGTTAAGAAAGTATGAACCAGACCCGACTCATGTCTTAAGGTATGAGGAGATAGCAATGGACGACAAAGTGTCGTACGTGGAAAGTCCAGTCAGGATCGAGGATAGAAAAGAGTGTGTGCTGAGGAACAAGACGATCCTGATGGTCAAAGTTGTTTGGGAGCACCACGGAACAGAAGGTGCCACGTGGGAAAGCGAAGAAGCTATGAAACGTCAACACCCCCAGTTATTTGAGTAGATAAGGATAGATTGCAAATTTCGAGGACAAAATTTTTGTAAGGGGGGAAGAATTGTAACAGCCCGAATTTCGATGTAATTCCGGGATCAATAAAACTGATATTAATTCGCATTTTATTTTAGTAAGTCTCGCCCGGAGCTGATCACTCTCGGGATACTAACCAATAGGGTATGGCTAACTAGAAAATGGTACGTGGACCGGGAACCCTATCGTGAAACGGACACCGATCACGAGAGACGCTGAGGGAATATTTTGGGCCAACGTGGGCCGATTGTAGGAAAGGGTGATGGATTTGATTTGGCCAAGGCCAACGATGTACAATCGGATTGCAGGTGATTCTACACGACCGAGAGTGCACGTGGCCAACCAGTCCTGAACTTAATTCGAACGATCGTGACCTCTGGGACTAGTGATAATTTCTCATTCTCTCAATGATCGGACCGTTATGACTCGGATAACCCTAGGTCGATACGCGTGACCTGTGAACAGCCGCCCGTTAGTGAGAGACCCTGAAATTGAAAGTTTAGCGAGTTTTGTTCACGGAATTGGGCTCGGATTTCGATGTCGATTTTCAAAGGCTTAAGAGACTATTTTTGGGAATCTGACGTCATATCACACTGGCCATACACGTTTGGAGTTAGTACGAGTAAAAATTGGAATTTCGGTCCGGGGGTGAAAAATTACAATTTTGCCCCTCGGGACGCCAGCGTTGCTTTTCTAGGCCAAATGAGGTTATTTTTCGAGGCCGACACCATTTTTGGGTGGCCACGCATACCAGGAGTCGTTATGGCCAAAAATTGGAATTTCGATAGAAATTGAAAAAATAATATTATTTTATTCCCGAAACTTTGCGGTCGATTTTCGAGGGCTTGCGCGATGAATTTCGCGATTCCGATGCCATATTATGTTGGCCATGCACATAGAGGGTTGATACGGGCGAAAAATGAAACTTTACCCCGGGACCGGAAAAATGACGGTTTTGCCCCTGGGCCGTTTTCAGTTCCAAATTTTGGGAAAATTTTTGGGGTAATTAAATATGGATTATCAGCTATATTATTGGACCTAATGACCATTTTGCCCATCAATTATTGGGCTAGAACGAACGTCGGCCGTCGGATTTAGGGTATTTTGGTCAAACGGCCCGGATCGGCGACACGTGGCGCTTTGGACTGATATTTTTGACCAAGATCAGATCAGTTTCTCTCTCCTCTCCCTCTCATTCGGCTGAACCACCCCAGAACAACCCCTCCTTCCCTTTTTTCTCTCATTTTCTCTCTTGTTTGGCCTTGCCGGAGCAAGCCACCAATCACCGGAGCGCCGCCGCCGGCCGCCGTGCTCCGCCGTCGACCACCACAGCCCCCAGCCTGAGCCTTGCCTCCGTCCGACCCCTTTCTCTCTCTCTTTCCCTCTCTTTTTCTCTCTTTTTCTCTCCCGGGTTAGCACCGCCGCCGCGTCGGAGCCTCGCCGCCGCCGCGCCGGAGCTCGGATCGCCGTTCCGTCGCCACCCAGCCGTCCAGCACGCCGCACGACGCGCGACCGTACCTTTCCGTACGGTCGGTATTTGTTCACCGCGTCCCTCCGTACGGTCACTGTTCACGCCGTCCGTACGCCGTCGCCGGGAATTCCGCCGCCGGTTTCACTGTTCACCAGTGATCGGCTGCCGTTCCCCGTCGTCGTGACCTTGGATTAAGTGAGTAAAATTCCTAAACCCGGATTAGGACTGATAGTGCGTTTTTCTGGACTGGTTTAGGTATTATCGGTGTATAATTCGGACTGGATTGAGGACTGATTGGTGGAAATAAAATCCGAGGAATTTAGTGGGATTATTATAGATAATTATTGGGCTCGGATTGAGGAAATAGCAACTGTCCATATTTTCGAGGAATGTACCGGATTATATTGGACAGCAAGAGTTATTAGCTGAATGGCCGGGATTACCCAGAATGATTGGCTGTTGATTGATTGGTGATCAATTGTGTTTAATTATGAAATGCCATGTTGCGTGCTTGTGTGGCTGAATCGTGCGGAGTGTGATTGGCCAATTGATGGCTTGAATTGTGTATTTGGAATTGGGCCGCACGGTATTAATAGGCCAAGTAAGCACGTGAATTGTGAATTAGGCACTGTGGAATGACTTTGATTGAACTGTGTGTCTATGCCTATGTTATGTGGATGCTCATGTTGCATTTCATGGCACGTATTATGAATGCCGAGAATGAGGCTTGTGATGAAATTGTGTGAGACTGCGTGCCTGTCATGAACATGTGATCACCTAAAATACCCTGAAGCGTTTTACGCGGGGTTTAGATAATAATGGGTTGTGTGATCACCTAAGGGCCTTCGGGTCGTGACCTTCGGGTCGATACCGTCCTCATGCACTTTGAAGCAGGACGATACCCGATACGTCCGGAAGACGACCATCCTCATGCACTTTGAAGCAGGCTCTGGTTCGTAAGGAGATCAGTGTTGCGCCTCATGCACTTTGAAGCAAGTGAGACGCCTCATGCACTTTGAAGCAGGCTAGACGCACCGGGCCGTGAATGTTGTTGACTCGAGTCGTCGTAATAAATAATAAATTGGGCGATTGCCAGTGTGGGCCAGTGGGCCGGGAAATGTACGTGACCTGTCAACGACATTTGCATGCATGAACATGCATGGACTGGCATGCGAGTGTGTGAGACTCGGTGCATGAGCATGTGATTGGCGTACGTGTGATAATGTGTGCCACGTATGTGCCGTGGCTATTATATGTTGATCTGTCTAACCTGCAGGGTCAGAGAATGGTTTGATTATTGTTGTATTGTGATTTAAATATTTGTTTCTGGTCAGGAGATTGCATGCTGGCCTAGCCTAGGTTTAGGGGTTGAACTCACTGAGATTCGTCTCACGGTTGTGTAAACCGAAACATTTCAGACCCCCAGCCGTAGAATGCCGAAGTCACCACCTCTTTCTGGGATACCGCATCGCATTCAGCGATCGTTGAACATGCACCCCTGTAGAGACGAAGCAGCAGATATGGAGTCAGAGGAGCAGTCGGATGAATCCTCGGAATCCTCAGATCCTGACTGGGATCCCTAAGAGCACCCTAGCCACTTACCCTTTTGACCCAGTGGCTGTTGACTGTTTATACTGCTCGCTTTTGTGTTTGATGGGTATTGTAAAAAGGTTTTCTATAGTAATGTAAGTATGTACCTATTTTCTGCTGTGATCGTGTTTATTGCTTGGCTATCCTTGGCTCGTATTTTATAATTGTCAGGGTTGTTTATTTAATTGCTTCCGCTTGTGCTTGTTCTCTGTTGGGCGTTGGGTCGGCGACGCTTCCTGGGACGTCACACCATAATCGACCGGAGGTGGGATGCTCGCGCTTCGTGGGGTACGGGGCGTGACATCCTTTGTGATCTGGTTTATCACAATCTCTTTCCAATCCGACATCCATTGAGCTCACACAGTCAGATATATTAACAACAAACATATAGCGAGGAGGAGACATTAGCATTTGGTGGTCTTGATTTGTTGCAATAGAAAAATGTTTTTTAGGAATGAAAATGTTAAATTCATTCACTGTGCGTGTTTGCAATGAAAATTGGTGTTCTTAGAACGAAAATTTGTCAATGTTGTGAGGAAAGAAAATTCATATCTACCTCTGAACAAGCTTGGCTTGTTATTGTTGACAAAGCCTTATCAATATGATCTTACATCTGTAAAAGTTGAAAGACAGAATTGCTTATATGCAACTGACATGCATATAGCTATCAAACCATTTGAGAGATAAAGACCGAAATTGCCTTCATTTAGACCTCTTTTTGGTAATTGAGACCCATTTTACTGAAGTGGCAGTGATCAAATGTAACAAAATTTTTACAAACAAACGAGCCCCGCAAGCCAACTATTCAAGAGTATTGAATGTACTCTTTAACATCAACAAAGTAGCCGAAAATAAGGCCAACTGCACTTTTCAAATATTGAATATACTACTTAAAGTAAAAATTTCTTGCCTAGAATGCTTGTGCTCTATCCAGCATCATTGCCACATCTTAAACACTTCCAAAACTACAAAAAAAAAAAAAAACAATCTCTATCTCTTGATCTTAAATTCAAGAGTATCATATCAACAAAAAGTACAAGTGCTAATCCTACTTCCAACTCTTCAAACATCTACTTCTGGTAAATTTTCCTCTTTCTTGGAGATATTGTTGATCCAACACTTCCAATATTGTTCAAATGCTCCACGGCTTGTTTCCGTTCTTCTTGTTTCTTTTTCATAATGTCCGCCTTTTGCCGCTAGACAAAAGAAAAGCATCAATCAATCAAATGTCAAATGTTTACATAACAACAAGTTTACTACCATAAAGTTACACCTGCAATCCCGTTGTAGTGATAACTTTGCGAGATGCGCTCTCCACCTTCTTAGCATTATCCACATCATGGTTGGTATTTCTTAATAGTGAAATGGCTCGACTACCTTCCAGTCCAGGCTATTAAGAACAACAATACTCTAGTTAAAATGGCACTTATAATTATTCAAGAACATGATCACTTACTTTTTTTTTTTTTTTTTTTTTGGTCGAAATGATCACTTACTTAAAAGTACGGTTAAGAGTACCTTTTGAGTGGCGGCACTATTATGATGCATCTCCACGACATGTGGGTTGGCTTCTCTCTGTTCAACTATCTCTTCATCCTGTTCATTAAGAAAATGAAGTTAAAAATATTGACACAAACAAATACTAGAGACATAGAATGAGTAAACCTTACCTTCTCGTTTTGTTTCAATGGACAACTTCTTGAGTTGTGGCCTCGCTTGAAGCACAAATGGCATGTGATTTTTATACCTTGTCTTGACACTTTGAATCCATTTTTAGATTCTCCTTCCTCTCTTATCCTTTTCTGTTTAGGCCTACCGAGCATAACCCGAGGCATTGGTGCCACCAAAGGTTCTCTATCATTAGAAGGCCACAGGTTATCGCCATTCATTGCTTCCAAGTAGTGACTGTATGTCTTTAAATAGATATCCTTCTTATACCAGTGGGCGACAAAAGTTTCTATCTCCTCCCCTTTGAATAGTATGACACAGATTGCATGAGGGCATGGAATCCCACTCAAGTCCCATGCCCTGCAAGAACAAGAGTTGTTTCTTATGTCCACTACAAATTTATCGTTCCTATGGCGCACTTCAAATCCATCTTCTCCATTCCAAAGCACATGACAAAAGGCACTTTCTTTTTTATTGCCTTCTATCTTCTCTAATATCCTTGGCGCAATTTCCCTTTTCCATCTTTGACATGCATCTCTTTTTTCACGCATTCTTGTCACTATCTTCTCTCTAATTGCCTCAAGCATAGATATGATAGGCATGTGTCTAGCTTCCAGTATCGATCCATTAAATGCTTCTGACAAGTTATTGTCCACAATATCTGACTTGCATATAGTTTTAAAGTGAGCCTTGCACCAATATTTTGGAGCAATCCTCATCAAATCAGCCTTTCCTGTCTTGCTCATCTTATCCAATTTCTCGAGGTGTTTTTCAAATTGCGGGATTGTTGTTGACTTTGCACACATCCAAAATTGCTTGCGACAATCATTTCCCCCATTCTTCTTGCGCCAATTTGCATAGATATGTCTTGCACATCGTCGGTGCTCAGCCGATGACATCTCCTCCTCCGGTACCTGCACAAGCCCCTACAACAGAATACATGATATCATCATATATATAATGAGGTAACAATATGGCACACATGGAAAATACAAAATGAAGGAAGATTAATCACATTACCTTATGTTGAACTGAGATCACTGTGTATCCTAAACCATCCTTTGTGCCAAGATCGTTCTTTAAGGCCTCTACAAACCAGCCCCATGAATCCTTATTCTCGACCTCAACAACGGCCCATGCGATAGGGTACATTTGATTATTTGCATCCCTCCCCACAGCAGTCAATAACTCACCCTTCAACATTCCTTTTAAGAAACATCCATCCAACCCTATCAAAGGTCTGCAACCTTCAAGGAATCCCTTTCTCACGGCATCAAAGCAAACATAAAATCGTTGGAAGATGGGTCTTGAATTTGGTGATTCTCTTATAAACTTTACCTTCACAGTATTTCGAGGATTTCTATGAATAATTTCTTCACAATAATTCCACAACCTATTGAACTCATAGGAGTACATCCCGTTTAGTCTTTCGATTACCCTTCGCTTAGTCCTTCTACACTGGCTTATGGTGACATCTAAGCTCATTTGCTCTCGCACAATTTTCTTGAACTCCTGCAACTTCATTGAAGGAGCTGCCCTCCACAAGCTTAGATAATGCTTCGCCATGTACGTAGATGTAAACCTCCTCACTTGAAAAGACCAAGAGCACGTGTGCTCATCCTTGAAAGTTTTCACTGTAAACAAGCCTGTCTTATTATCTCTAGCTGCATAAATTAACCAGTTACAATTTTTAGCTTTACATTTGGCCTTAACTCTCACCTTGTCATTCTTGATAAAATCAATATTAACTCTTCTGGTAGCTGCATATTTGTTGATAGCTTCCTTAAACTGCTTAGGGCCATCAAATACCATATTTAGTGCAAAGTGAGGTATCTCTGTGGTTTCATCATACTGCGCATGTGTGCTTTTCCTTCTAACAGCCTCCTCTGTCTCTAGTTCATCTTCATCACTCGTGACAAAGCTCCAATTAGAATCACTTGAGTCAAAGCATTCAGTCTCAAGCTCAACATTATCTTCACAATGGGTTGTTATAGCCTCTTTCCTCCCCCATCTTCGTCTTACTTCAACATCTATTTCACTAGGTATCTCCAGCAACCTAGCAACTCTATATGCATTTTCTCCCTTAAAAGTTCTAATTTTTCCCCTAGCCGCTTGAAGTTCTTCTTCTTCATTGTCAGACAACCATGGGACCTCAACAAGCTCATCATCCTCTTCGATTTCATGATTTTGCCCATCAATAGGCATTAAAACTCCTTCATCTTCTTCGACGTTTATCAATCCCCCCACTAACCCATCACCAATGCCAACACTCACGTCTTCACCATGTTCAATAAATATCTCACATGTACCGTCAATATTTGCCCAAAGTCGCATCATTTCCTGTACTGAAGTGTCATCTTCAATTAATCTTAGACCATTCTCAAAATTCTTACCCGGCATTAAATAGTGGAATTTCTCAATATTAGAGTAACCCATATCTTGTACCAAGTGTAAAATCTCAAAGTAGCTCAGCTTGTCTGGATCATAGAGCCACTCACTACTATGACCATCAACATACTCTACTATTCTATCACGAACAAACCTACCTCCAACCCATAGAGTAAATCGGAATGTTTCATCAGCCATGTAAATCTGCAAAAAGATAAACATAAAAATCAACTAGACTAAAAAAGATAAAGGACACCAGTCAATCTATTTCTATTGTTTATACAATATAAACAAATAAACACCAAAAGTATAATCTAAAGACAAGAAAACAAACACAAATGGGGGCCACGTCTGAAAAGCCATGAAAAAGCTACAACCTAAAACTACGGCAAGTTGGGACCACATTATAACAAAACTTACTGTGCACTCGATATTGTTTTAATACTCTCATAGGGCATTGCAAAGCACAACATGCACAAATAAACTATTCCCACTTTACGTCATGACAATGCTTCGATCGAGTCGGATAAACCGTGCATTATCATCTTCGAGAAAGCCTTTGTTAACCCATTTTCAAGAAAGCCCTAATTAACCCTAAATAAAAGCCATGGAGGAGCCTGTAGGACACGTCGTCCTTGTAAAACTCCCACGTGTACAGACCCGAGTCTTCATTGGAAGCATTACGCACGAGACAACATACCGGGCACAGAGTAACGTCTTCCGTGTGACAAGATATGGGTTTTAGCTTCAGGTGTCAAATTGAGTCTTCATCTCCACTTTTTGTTCTTTTTCTTTCTTCGACTGTTGTACGCCTTCTTGCCTTTTTGTTTCTGAAATTTTGGTCAGTCAATTTTTTTGCTTCTAAGAAGCAAGTCCTTCAACCCACAAAAAAGAAGAAGAAGCAAGTCCATCGACCCAAAAAAAAAAGAAACAAGTCCTTCGACCCACAAAAAAGAAGAAGCAAAATTCCAGAACCAAAAAAGCATACCAAACACATACTCGCGTTCAAGCTATAAAGAACACGAGCTCTTCCGAGATTTCAATTCCTCGATGCTCACACGGTTCTCACTTCCTTCCCTCGTTTTGATTTCTGATTGAGCGGATCACGCACAGGCAGTGGCGCGTCCTCCAAGACCCCAAGATTCGAATTGTCGCCGAGATCGACCTCAACCCAACCTTCCTCATTTCAGTATCGATCCCCAAGCATTTTGAGAAGTCTGATGTTGAATCGTTGAAGAATCGTTGAAGAATCGTGGAGGAGGAAGAAGAGGGTTATGTGAAGCCCTAATTTGTTTTTCTTTTGTAAAATACTTGCTGGATCATTATTTAGTATTTAGAAAATCCAACTCAGCTCCATATCATCAGTTAACGGTCCACGTCATCAGTTAACGGTTTGAGCAAACGGAAGGACTAGATTGAACATTTATCCATAGTTCAAGGACCATTTTGGACAAATTGAAAGTTCAGGGACGAGATTGAACATTGGACCAAAGCTCAGGGACTATTTGTGTCAGTTTCCCTAAAGTTAATTTTATTGATCAAGTCCACACTGTCCACTGTACTCTAATTTTCAGGAACCCATTAACACTTTCCTTTTGGAAGTCTTTGGTTTTGAATCTTTGGATGTTGATCTGACTAATCAGACATCCTATCCTAAAACCGGCTGTGCAAGGCGACTCAGGCAACAGTTGTTAAAGATGAATGGGTTAAGAAGCAGCAGGTTCTAACTTATCCTTGTGTCTGCAGCATCTAACTCTTTCAATTTGATTTTAATCTCATCTTACTTTAGGATAAACAGCTAATTGTGATGATGGAGGATTTGTCAAAAGTTGTGCATGAGGGCATTAAGCTTGTCGAGGTTTGAAGTATCATTTGGCTAAAAAGTCTTAACAATTTTCACTTCAAGTGTCTGGAAATGCCTGTGCTACTCACCAATACGGATGTTAATAAGTACCTAATATGCACCATCCTTGTGATTTTTCCAGCATCACTTCTCTCTTCTTTTGCCTTTTTTATACCTTCAAGTAACGAGGAATGAAGGACGGGATGACATTATTGAGGGTTGAGCTGTATGGTTGCAATGTGGAGCACTAGGAATGCTTCACCTATATAGGACACTGCCTTGAGAGATGAATGAAGGATAATCATGTTGGAGAAAAATCTCTTGATCAAGAGAAGGAAAGAAATTTTACTTGAAAGCCTTTCCCAAGTCTGTAGCGTTGTAGAGTATTGCCGAGATGGCTAGTGTTTCTTGTAGTAACTCCACTTGAATAGCTGCTTTCCCATTATAGTTAATTAGGAGAGACCATCTTTGTCTCATCATATTCTCAAAATCTCGTCTTATGTAGAAATTTCGATATTTCTCTTTGTTTAGCGCTAATATCGCCGAATCAATTCCAGTAACTTGAAGGTTGAAACAGATATATTTCACTTCCAATATACATGGTATCCTCTATCTTCTTCCTCAAACATGTGCACGTTTTGGTTTTGGCATTTAAGGGGGGAAACATCCTGTAGTGGGCTACATAGTGCAAATGCAATTGGATGAACAGTGGAGAAAATGCATGCTTATCTGTTCTTCAAGGAAGATGGATACAAAACACTTTTCTAGGAAACTTTCTTAACGCTGCCACTGGATATTATATTGGTTCAACATGATAAATTAAGATCGTCCTCTCTCTCTCTCCTCTCTCTCGGGTGTATTGCGAAATCACTATGCTCCAGCGTCATTATGGATCAGTAAGGGACTTATGGTTCTACACATTGCCCTGTCCAATCTTTCTTGGAATGGGAAAAGAAGAGGAAAGGAATGATTCTACTCTACAATTGGCCGAGGAATACTTTACATTGATTTCAAAACTTTCCTACATGTGAGTCGTACATTCAGAGGGATACTATACAGGGGAATTACATCAAGTACTGCTCAAGACACTGTTTTAGCTTCTGAAAAGTGACAGGTTTCGACACGAATGAGTCCATACCATTTGCAAAACATTCATCCGCGCTCTCTGCCAATGCATTCGCTGTCATCTGCCAATTTGAAAAAAGTTACATAATCAGAAAAAGCAAGCAAAATCAACCCAAATTGCTCAATATTTTTTATATACTGTTATCTAATACCGAACTGGTTATGTTCTCGTAACTTGTACAATCTGTTGCTTTAGAAAGCAGACTTTCAGCTAGTTTTTCACAAGAAATCATTAAAGGATTTTCGCAGGCCCGCCAACTCTCATTTTAGCAGTTAAATCAACTCGATGCCTCTAACCGAAACCATTATAAGAGTACTAAGTTATTAACTAGACGAGCTTTGAATTCGCTATTATTTAAGCATCATATGAAGGGAAAGCAAGAGGGCATTAATAAAATGCACGAGTGCAACTCTGATGCAAGTGCTAACCGCAATAATGGGAACTCGTTCTCTTGATCCTGAACTGTGACCATTGCATGATAAGTCTGAAGAGACTTGCTCTATCCCTGCCCTTACTGCAGCATCCCAGTTTCCTGTCTCCTCGAAGGATCGGATTATTCTGGTTGCTTGAAGGCCATCCATGACAGGCATGCAGACATCCTGAAAATGAAGTATGAATTTGCCAGAACATCATCAAAATCACGAAACAAGTACCAAGTGACATGCTATGGAATCATTTTACGAATAAGCAGGAAAGTTGAGATGCAATAGAAAGCTAATGTAGACCGCATGTAGACAGATTATAGAATGCCGGGTGATCAGCTGGGTACATTTTTGTCTTAGCACAGAAATGAAAATGAGTAGAAGTTATAAACATCAGTAGAAAGCTTAGGCCACAAAAGAAAAAGGTAGGTTCAAGTATATGTGTATTACCATCAGAATGAGATCATAAGTATGTCGTTGAACAGCACGGACAGCTTCGACTCCATTGTTCACAACATCCATATCATGTCCTAGCTGCTTCATCATGGATTGAGTCACCATGACATTGATCTTATTATCTTCCACCAGAAGGATGTTAGGCTTTGGTTTGGGTTTTGGTTCTTCCACAATGCCGCTGGACGTGCTCTCTGAACTTGCACAAGATTTCTCCAACCCGTGACGTGACCCAGGGGGTTCCCTTATGGTAAGCTTATCTACTTGTCCTTTTTCCTCTTCAAGATGAGAAACATTTGAGCTCGAAATTTGTGATCTGCATTCCGTACCCTGTTGATTCACTTTGCCAATCTTCACATCAACCTCGCACTCATAATGTAAACTGGGACTCACTGAGCATTCTGTTTCTGACGAGGTCTCAGCAGCGTCAACTGTAGAACAGGCGTCCTCAGGTGAAGCTAACTCTTTCAGTCTGAGGTTGTTAGTTGGAAATGCATAAGAATCCTCTGCAACCCCGTTGAGCTTATTTATACAAGTGTATCCAACATTATGTGATAATAGTTTCTGTGTCCTGATGGAACCATTTGAAGAGAAGAGAGAACCCAGAGTGCGTGGCTGGAATTGGAAAAAGCCATCGGTGATGTCATCAACAGCAGAATCATGATTAGCCATAATTGCAAGATCTTCAGAATCATCGGAGTTATCACATATCGGCGAGACTTTGTAAGGTAGCACAAATGTGAATGTAGATCCCATATGCTCTCGACTAGACACAGTGAGGCGGCCTCCCATTAACTCAACCTATGTCAATGCAAAGAAACCTGTTAGAGAGGTCTTGTGAAGCTAGCAGTAACAAGAGCGATTGAACTCAAGTTTTGAGTGTAATCTGGTAACTGGTTGCAATTCATGGAAAAAGGAGTGATTGAAATATCTTTAGAGGTTCTCCACCAGACAGAAAGGCAAACGTTTTAGACTTTCTAATAGCAGAAACCAGAAATAGCTGTTTCTCTCTTTGTTCCGTAGCAAGTTGTGGATCTTCACAAAAGTTATTTAAAAAAAAAATCATAGCTCGGAGATTCACCAGTTGTTTGCATATGGCTAGGCCAAGTCCCGTCCCACCATACTTTCGAGCATGATCAGCACTGACTTGCATGTACTTTTTAAATAAAGTAGGCAAAGCGTTCTCTGTTAGATGATATCAGAGGCTATGATCAGCATTAGTTGTTAAAGGTATGAAATGGAACATCAATGATATTCCTGAAGCATTTGATAATAACAGAAGCTAGAAAAATAAATCAGATTAACAGGAACCTGGGATTCCAATTCCTGTGTCATACACATCACAACGGATCCATACTGTTGTCTCGGGGGTGTGCTCTTCCTCCTTATCTCTATCTGCAGATGCTTCGCTTTCGCACGTGGTTCGAGTTTTATCATGCAGAGCATGATTTTGGCAGAAATGGCCATTCTGACTCTTCACTTGAACAGGTTGTTGGTCACAACTTGCTTGAGACTTTAAAGAACTTTTCTCTTCCTTCATTCTGTTCTCCCGTGTGGTTGACTGATCTGCTTGTGACTTCTGAGGACACTCTTCTATTTTCTCGAGAGATGGTTCTGGAACCACATATAGATTTATGCCAACCTTCCCTTCATGTGTAAATTTGATGGCGTTGCTGTAGCAGATAATGGAAAGCGTAAGGCCGCTACAGATTGTATAAATATTCTAACCATTCTATGCAGCACATATTAAAATTTAAATTCTTTGACATCATCTCCAAGTTTACTGGGATCATCCCATTTTTCACGATGGCAGTCGCATCTCCCTTCTAACTGTCCAGTCATTTCTTTGAATGCCTGCTAACTGAAATCTTCTACAGATACAATGTACAGGATTAAGCTCTAAATATTTTATAAATCATATCAATGTGTGCCGCATGGCATGTGACTCTCTGGAACTTGCCTCCCAATCGATAAATCTATCATGAGCCCTGAAATATAATAGGGTTACAGCATGTCGAGCACAAATATTAAGCTGAAAGAGCTCACCACCTTAGAAAAGTTTCTTTAGATATGCAGTCATGGGAGATGGAACTCTAGGACAATGCTTAACAAGAAAGAATGCCTTGACAGTGTGCTAGAATAATTGGTAATCCACCTCTCTAACATACATTCCACTAGGCCTTCACACTATTTACTTAGTATTGCTTTTACCAGAAATATAGAGCTACGTATCTAGAATAACGATATCAACACAGTACAACTGGTACCTGATCAAGTTGGTGAGAATTTGTCTAATTCTCAGAACATCTCCAATGACCTGAAAAGGTTGGAGATACTTGGATTAATCAATTTGACAGTCAATATGAATTAGTGATAACCCCGTTCTTCAGCAACATTAGTTTAAGAAACAAAATGCAATCAACTGAACCATCACTATAATCCACGTATCAAGACTTTGACCAACAGCTCATCTAGCATTTAGAAACGATAACCCACATTGATACGCTATTAAAAGAATCAAATGACAGATTTCACCCATCGAACAAGTTAAATAGGACCAAAAAACTTAGGTTATGGTCAAGCAGAATTAAACAAATTATGTGAAGTATCGGGAGAGATGTAGCATCCTAACATAAGCAAGAGAGAAACAGAATGTAGGAAGACAATATATCATTATTTTAACAGACTGACCTCAATAGGAACATCATCCGCTACATGTCCTTCCAATGTTAATATCTTCCGTAATGATGCCGCAGCGGTCTGCAACACGTGCTTTACTACCTCCCTTGGCCGGAATTTTGTAGCTTCCAGCTTCATTACCCCTATACAAGAATGAACGGAATGTGTTTGTGTGGCTACTTTCAGCTATGAGGAGGAAAGTCTGACAATGGTAAGAATGAAACACGACTGTTTCTTTATGTATATAAGATTGATGCCATACCTGACTCAACCTTCGAAAGGTCAAGAATGTCATTTATTAGTTGAAGGACCAAATCTCCCGAGGAAAGCATGACATCTAACAATTGCCGCTGCTCCCGATCAAGTCTAGTTTGTGCAAGAATCTCAGCCATGCTAACAACCCCAGTGAGGGGAGACCTTATCTCATGTGACATTGTTGCAAGCATTTGTTTTGCTCGCATTGTCTCCTCTGCAAGATTGAAGGGTTCATAAGTATTGGAACATGGATAATGCCGAAGCTATATAAAACCGCCTGAAACAATCAGAAGTGAACAAAGTAAGTTAACCTGTTATATACATGGTTTTATTCATCTCGGTTTCCTTGGCATTCCGTACCGCCATCTCCTCTCGAAGTTTTGCCATTTTCTCTCTTATTCTTACCTAACAAGAAATCAGAGGCACTATCACCATTTCTATTGATTGTAGAAAGACCTATTATGAGTCAATGAGATAATCCTGCCTAACTCACCTGATCAGTAACATCCATTCCCATATAGTTAATTCCAATTGTTTCCCCAGCCTTGCTAAAGACAGGTGCGACGTGGATCAGAAACGTTTTTGCACCAAATAATTCTGTATCGAATGTAATTTCTCTCTTTGCAGGTAAACCTTTCTCCAGAACTTCCCTCTTAAATTCTTGAGACTCCTTCACGCCAGCACCAGTGAAGATATCGACATCTGTTTTACCTATAACGTCCTGACATATTAATTGGACAACTTGAGACTTCTTCTTTGCTCTTTGGAAATCAATGAAATGATAAGAAGTGCAGAAAAAATAGTGCAGGTAAATACTTGACTAGTCAGTCATATAGATTAACCAGTACCAGATACTTGCAAAAACAGAAATTTGCTGCAATTTTATGAAATGGGTAACTTCGTAGAAATGATCTCACCTGCTCATTCAAAGTAGGATAAGGATTGTAGATGAAGCGATATCGCAGCTCTTTATCCTGGAAAGAAAGGCGAAAGAGAGAAAGAGGCTAAGTATCCTGGAACATCCTTCCTAAGTAACCGACTGATTTGAAGCATCAAAAGTTCCATAACTTCCATTGAAGTTAACGGGAAAAACGATGGAAGCAAAAAAAGCAGAATATACTAAACTTCTTTAAAAATTGACCCATCAAATAAAGATAAAGTAGTTCAGGTTTGTCTGGAATGTGAGATCTCGATATTCTTTCTAGTTGCATATATGTGGCTGTAAAATATCTCTTCGTCACTCATGCCACTTTAGTTAAACAAGCACCAGTCCATCCCTAAGATGCACTGAAGAAATACACCGGCTTGGTTAATGAATGGGGATTTAAAACTATACAGCTACTTCTCTAGCTGTAATTATTCATGGCTAACACTAGTAGTTTCTGTGAACTATCTACTTGAGGATGTAAAATAATCTAAATATAACCCATGCACTCTTGGTGCTTGTATTCTTTGCCTGGCCAAACAAGAAACAAACTCTAGCCTGAGGATATAGCACAACTCCAGCGTAAAGGCATCTTTGTGAGTCATGAAGCAGAAGCAATTATTTTCTCACCTGGTGTCCAATCACAACAGGTGCATTCTGAAGTATAAAATGCAAAAAGTTGTCAGCTCTTTTTAGAATCTGAGACAGCTCTTCCACCGGAGAGGACTGATTTTCCAGATTGTTTATGCTTTCCTGCAACTTTTCCATGAGCGCCTGCTCTCTGTGGATACTTGCCTCCAACAATTTCTCTAAGTGCATGGCGCGCTGCTTCCAGTAAATGACAGTATCGTACTCGGCATCAATCTCAACCCTCTTATTTTGGATAACTACATCGCTTTTCCTTCGAGGAACATCTTGCCATATATCGTAGGCATCATCAAGTATAGATATTGGGCGCTTGTCACCACCGTACCGTTCTTCCTCAAAACGATGCTCCTCGAGTATCTCCAATTTCTTCAGTTCAACCTCCTGCCTCTGTCTGCTCAGGATGTCAAGTTCCTCTTTTAGAAGGCGTGCTGCATTGGCCTGCCTGTACTCCCACTGCTTTACAAGGTTTGCCAACTGAGAAGCACCCTGGTCTGTGTAGTTGGTTAGCTCCAAAAGCCGCTTAAAATCAATTATCTTCGGCTCCTCTGGAATCGTGACATCCTTCAACATATCTTCATCCCCTCCAGGCTCTTCGATGTTGAACTGCTTTCCAGCATCATCTCCGATATCTTCAGGCCACATCGAAGGCAGAACTTCGATGTCCATATCTTCAATAGGATCTTTTTCCATCTCACACACCATCGTGGCTCTTCACATGTGAGTTCAAAATGTCACCAATATATGAGCGTGAATACCTTCCTTCAGTCTATGCATCCAGTTCAATGAGGCTCTTACATTTAACTTGGTCAATGATGAGCAATATTGTTGAATGAATTTAAAACCAGGGTAAGGGGCAAAGAAGGGTCAATCGACCTGCAAGACAACCATAAGTCGAAATATGTAAGGTATGAATTTGTCTCTAGAATAGCAAAAAACTAAAGGAAACTTAGCGATGTTATATTCTGATAGGGAAATACAAATAGAGAACATTATGCAGGACTAATCCTAGTTCAAAACTGGTATCTCTCAATTGATAATAGCTCTCCCGGTCCTAATATCCACCGTGATATATCTACTCCGAGGTCCAAGACAAATTCATGCGTGACAAGGTGGTGAACACTGTAAAAGCTTCTGTTTCCTCATTGTGGGATAAAAAGCACGTCATGTTATCCTACTTAGAAAAGCATGGAGCCCTACATAGTCTCTCCTGTCTAAACATTCTCAATGAGAACCCCTGGATTGATAAGTAGGCTTATCCAATACTGAAGCTCCTGATATACAGTCAAATTTCCTAGAGAAAAGCAGTGACGTATGACTGCTTCACATGATGCACAGTAGGAATCTGTAAAATCAAATTAGACCCAAATTCAGAATTTTGAAGGCAACCCTGTTCACAATTTTCTTTTGTTCTCTTCATGGCAGCTTATCAGGCAAGGAACATATACTGCTTATATATAAAAAGTTTCCCGGAACTACAATGTTGAAGGATACTGGCACCAATATCAGATGCCGTGTATATTATTACTTGTAAAATAACAGAGCTACAGATGTTATTTGGATGTCAATAATGAGACGAACAGATTCTCAATTATGGCCTGTTCAATCAAATCAGACTTGTGCCAGAGAAAATAAACGAGGAAGCATGGTATGTAATTCTTACACCAACAGAAAAGTAATCTTGGTTACACACAGCTTGAAAAGGAACTCATCTTTTATATTCATCCCTTATGCTGACTAAAAGGAAGATACTGAGCGAGGCAATATGCTGAGCAATTCATTGACAAGTAGAAAACTTAAAGCAGATCATGCGGATTGATGAACAAAGCGTGAAATTAAGCTGACATTGATCTGCCAAACGATTGAAAGATGGGCAAAAGTCAAATGGGTCACCACTCACCAACCAGGCTCCATCAGTGCTTGATTCAACATCATGACTTGCTTCCCAAAATTCAGAGTAGAGAAAATGACAGAATGCAGCAGAAGAGGCTATCAAGAAGCGGACCTTTCCACAATGGAGTTTGAGCCTTCCGCCAAAGAAACGGCCTCCCAAGTGAGAATTGGGGTTGGAATCAGCAAAAAGCCTTGCACTTTAGATCTGAAACGTGCCCAGTTCAAGAATAATCAAATGCAATGAAAATGAATAACTAAAAGTATGAGTGGAGCAATGAACTTTTAGAGAGAGAGAGAGAGAGAGAGATGGAAGGAGGAGAGCATGTGAGGGGAAAAAAAGAAAACCAGAAGAGGAAAAAACAATGAAAGCTGAGAGAGGAGAAGCCCAAGAAGCCATGTGCGCTTGGAGGTCAAAAATATTAGAGAATTCTTGGACGGTTCTTGTAACCAAGTCTACACATAAAAACAGGGTCAAGCTTATTTAAATCACGTTCCTCGCTACATCTCTCGGTGTCTTCGTTTGTTTCCTCTCAGCTTTCTTCTGTTACCAACACAAACGAACAAAAGCAAAAAAGGGAAGACTTCAATCTCCACCTACGCAAGCAGACGTAGCTTGCCCTGTTCCTTCATTCACACACACACTGTGTTTCTTGATCTCCTCTCTAAACGAAAACAGGGGTTCAACCACCCCCAGTCCCTCCCATCTCTTTCCATCTTTTTCTCTTCCCTTCTCGGGGCAGAGACAGAGAGAACGACAGAGACGCAGAAAGAGAGTTACTGAGGAGTTTTTTTTTTTTAAAGAAGTCCCCGCCATTACCAAGGTGACGTGTTGGGACGGCGCGTGCGCGAGCGGCGCGGAGGGGAAGAGTGAGTTTGACACTGCCTGCCGTGTTGCTGCTGATTCTCTGCACCTGTTTTTTGTTTCTGTAAGGAGTTTCGTGGGGGAGTGAATCCTACATTTGAGGAAAGCAGCGGAAAGGTGGTGAAAGGATCTTATTTATAAGCAAACTAGCCGTGGACACATTAATTAAATTTTTAAGTGACTAATTAGTTTAACTGGACGAGATTAACTGATGGTTGAGCTTGAGTTAATCATGGACCATGGTTTAGGCAAGATGTGACTGTGCACAGAATGGTACATGACGTCACTGGCGCAACGGTTCGGATTCACACGATGTGCCATCCGAAATATATCTAAAATCCAACATCCCGCTTTACCTGTGATCTATCACTGAGGGCATGGAGCCCCGATCGGGGCTCGCTATGCCGCGATATTATTCTATTTGGGTCCCAATTTATTTGTGGCCGGATGATCGAAAACGCATCGTGGTATTTGAAGCCGAGCTAGACTTGTCTAGTGCAACAATCCAGATCCAAGTGATGTGGGGTTAAAGACGTATTGAAATCTAGCAGAATTAATCAATTATTTGTAGCACATTGTTACGAAATAAGTTCTTATAATATGTATTTTTTTTTCTACGAATCAAGACATCATATACTTAGAACACACGACTTTCGATAGAATTAGCTAAGTTGCATGTTTGTTGCGAGAAAAATATGAACTCCCCATAAATAAGGTTTAACAAGTATTTTAGGGGCACTTTTCAATATTTTCCATTTTTGAATATGAGACTAACAAGCACGAAAATAGAGTTTATTAGTGAAAGGTTAAGGGCGCGTTTGGCAAGTTGTCAAATAGTAACTATTTCTGCTCTTTTGTTCCCAGAATCAGTTTTGGAACAAAAATCTATTTGGTAAATTTTTTGTTCCCTGGCACAAATTTGCAAAAATTGTTCCCAGAATCAGTTTTGGAACAGAATCAAGAAGCAAAAAAAAGTAGCTTCTTGATTCTAAGAACAAGAATCAGAAATGGAAAATAATTTTTTTTCTTCTTTTTCTTCTTGGCCTGTGGCTAGATGTCAGCCGTCGGTCGCCGGCGACCGGCCCTGGCCTGTGGCCGGTCACCGGCGACCTGGCCATGGCCAAGGAAGGGGAAGGGGAAGAAAAAAAAGAAAAAAAGAAAGAAATATTAAAATATTATTAACATATTATTAATAAAAAGAAAATTTTGTGCAGTTGCCAAACGCATTTCTGTTATTTTTCTATTCCAAGAATAGAAATTTTGGGTAGTTAAAAAACGCATTCAAATGCTTAGAAATTGTTCCCAGGCACGAAATAAAAAAGAATCATTTCTGATCAGAATCAGCTTCCACTTAGTAATAATATACTCGAATATATTTATGCATACATATATGCATATGTGCAACACATGATCTGGGGACTCATAGTGATCTCTCGTGTAAAATTAAACCAATAGTTCTAAAAATATAATATGTTAGATTAAGGCATTGTTTAATATGTAAATGTTTTAACACAGGAAGGCAAATAAGGGGCTTGTAAAAGATATGAAGTTGGGACCTCTTATTCTGATAGTATGTATAATTTGTGATATCGCCGTTAATTATCCTAGGAATTTATAATATTAGATGAAAGCGTAGATTAACATATGGATGATTTAAAATCCCACCTACCTTAAGTTCCAAAGTTCTCTTTGGTATTAACTAAATTTTTTTGAACAAACTGATATGCTTAAAAGAGTTATAATAATAGAGTTGAAAGTATTGTCTAACCCTTCAAATTTATAGTTCTCCATCTACCATATGTAGTTTGTACATGCATTTACTCAAATCGAACTAAAGTGGATTATTTAAATCTACTTTGCAAACGTGAGGTTAAGCAGCTAAAATCAAGCCGTAACTTGACATTTAAACTACACTCAACTCGAAGTTGACTAGTACAAAAGTTACGCTAGTTTAATGGGCAAGTAGCTTGAAAGCTAGAGTTGTGAACATAATATATATCATGAATGTATCACAATGAGTCAATCATCTATGTTTATACCAATATAAAAGGCGCATACACAATTACAATATGACTGTATAGACTTCTCTTGGGATTAAGTTATAAGCACTATGTCCTAAAAAAAGAATAATAAGCCACAGAGATTCCATAAGTATGATTATTCAAAAAGAAAATCAAATTATAAATGATAACGTCAATTTAATGATATGAAATGCAACCAATAGCATTAAGGTAAAATTTCAAATAAGCCATTTTCTTAAAAAAGAGTATAAAGCGGCCTTTGTTTCAAATAAGGGTTCGAAATGGTCAAGTTAATCTCATATAAAAGCCTGACCTCGAGGGCCGGCCAACACTTAATTTTTCCTGAGGTCGGAATAGGGCATGTTAATTTAAAAGTAAAGAGCTTTTAATCCCTCACTTTGTGATTCCGTCATTGTTCCCTGGTTTGTTGTAACTCATTCCAAAAAGGTTAGTACTCCATGTTCATTGCCAAATTCAAATTATAATTCGAGTCAAAGCCATGTCATTGCGAAAATATTGCGCTAGCTAATTAATTATGTACTTTCAATTCGTCTCACTCAATTTGTGTCACTTCCGAATCGCCAATACTTTCTTTAATAGATGTGTCAAAATGTCTATTCATGTCTAAACCCAACTGAATGGGATTAGAGATATTACAAGTCAAATAAATTGTGGTGGGTGACTTATATATTCATTGGCACTTTAACCTGTAAAGAAGATACTCTTTGGTGAAGTTAATTGCTACATATTGACCAATTGTAGTAGGTAGGGTGAACAGCACAGTTGATGGAAAGAATTTGTAAGGCAATGCAATAGAGGAGGAAAAGTTCCTGACTGCTCTCGATAATTCGCGTGTACTGTTGTAACATGGTGCACGTGAATTGAGCTCACCCGTACGTATGACATTCATGGAAGATCTGGTCGTACGACAGAGACACGCTAAATGGCCAGAGGTTGATGTGGCAAAGTAACATGAGTTTGAGTAGTTCCGATGTTATTCTTTTATTGGGAAAGGTACCAAAAAAGTTCTAAACCGATTATAATTATGTCAATTCAGTCATAAATCTTTCAATTATGTAAATTTAGCTCTAAACATTTTCTCATTTTGCTAATTGAATCCATTTGGTCAATTTTAAATGAAAATCGCTAACGTGGATACCGGTCATCCTACCGACATGAACATTTTTTAATTATATTTTGCCAATTGTTCTTCTCATTTTGGCTGACGAGAACTGGGCGAG